TGTGTGTGTGTGTGTGTGTGTGTGTGTGTGTGTGTGTGTGTGTGTGTGTGTGTGTGTGTGTATCTGTGTGCAGACGGAAAGATGAAACATGCTCTTTCATGCCACTGGTCTCACTGAGCGAGTGCAGAATACTCCGGCGCTGGACTGACCTCCTGGTCCTGTTCTGAAGGATGAAAAACTACAAACTCAGGCCCTTTTTAAACACAATCTGCTTTGAAACAAAAAGATATAGAGGAAGAACGATTCGAGAAAAATATCGAACTGAACTGTTGTACCTCCCTGTTTTGATGTTGAAATTTGTACTCACCTTCTAGACACTTTTTAAGATAAGGGGCGACAGCACAAATGATGCTCAGCTGCCCCGTCTACACTATAACATGAGAGGTCTATTTATTTTAAAAACGTAGTTATTGATTTGCCATCATATTTGTGTGTTTCTGTATGTACCACCCTTTTATGAAATGATACCTGACACAATATTGCAGTGGTTTCTATTTATGATTTTAGATGAAGGATTGCAGGTGATTTATGCGCAGTAATGTCCCACTGAATTTGTGAAAATGCATTTGAATTTGAAGAACTGAAGTCAAGCAGTCTACAAAATGCCAGCAATGTAAACTCATATTAAAACTGCGGCTGTGACAAATTAATTTATGCCTTTTTTTACCATGGTTAAAATCCAATTCAGAGCTCATTTCTTGAGTCTTGATTTTTACATTCATATTCCATTTGTTGATATTATGCTGTCTTCAAGTCCTTCTGGGAAGTTTTGATTCGAAAAACATTTGGTTGGGAAAAATAGGCATGTTTGGCAATTTCATATTTCTCTCTTTTTAAACTTAATGTTAAGCTTTTTAGCACCTCTGCAACAAAATTAAAGGGATAGTTTTCTCAAAAATGAAAATTCTGTCATCATTTACTCACTCTCAAGTTGTTCCAAACCTGTTTGGTTACCCACATTCTTTAAAATATCTTTTGTGTTCAACAGAAGAATAAAATTCATACATGTTTGGAACAACTTGAGGGTGAATAAATGATGACCGAATTTTCATTTTTGGATGAACTATCACTTTAAATGCAAAGGATGCATGTAAAGAAGTGTACTGGATGCTTTGATAGTTTTGTCACATAAAAGTAGTGTTTTTGGTTTAGCTTTATAGCTATTCTTGATCCACAGCACAAAAACTGCATATTAACAGTCAATTTTCAAAGTTATTAAGATCAGTTTGTCCCCACAATGATTTGAATTGGCACAGCACTAACTCATAAAGACTTAAAGAAAAGCAACTAAAGTTTCTCACTGGAGATTAAGATATTGCGTTGGTAAATCCGACATGACTTGAAGGCAACATTTGACATTTCATGCTCATCTCTACCCAGTTTTATCATTATGTAATGCCAAAATGTATAGACCAAACACTTACCCGTAATAACACAAAAGAGTCAAAGACAAGCACTCATTTTATATAGAGACAAGGCCGTCAAAAAGCCCAAAAAGCGATTGCTGCCTTCTTTTTATAACTACTCTCTATGGAGGATTTGCAGTGTCAAAAACAAAAACGCAAATTATTAGTGTTTTATGCCATTTTAATGTCCTTTTTCCTTTTAATTTGTTTGTGTTTTTTTATACTTTAGTTTGCAATGGACTTCCTCCAGTAGATAATGTTCAGACTAAACCGACTGAAAGGTTGAGGAGGAAGCTGATGAAGTATTTAATGTTCTTCCTTTCTTGTAGTTCAGTGGTTCTCAGCTGGTTTTACTTTTAAGTTTGCCCGACACATCCCTGAGATTATCATGCAAAAGTAATGAAAATGTTTTTCAAATCAACACTGCAATGCATTCAAACCACTATGCACATTATATGATTCAGAGCATTTTATTATTTTGATTTACCATTGTTTTTTCCCCCAACTGTCCGTGACCCTATCAGATGAGACCAGTTGAGAACTACCGATGTAGATCAGTCTGAGTGTATGTTCAGGAGATGAAGGGTTTGGATGTTACAGCATAGTCAGCACTGTGAAATCTCACGAATGATCCGAGATTCAGATGAAGCCATTACATTGGATTCTAGCGTGTATTCTTTGTACAGACTGATAAATATGTTTGATTTCATAATTCTCAAATAGTCATTGTTTGAAATATATTTATACATCAGAATGGAGTCATAAGGCAGCTTTATACAACCTAGTGTCACTGATATAGTGTTTACGACATGCTTAGCAGATTTCATTGACTTTAGCTCTGAGGTTTTGATGATCACGAAGGGATATATGTAGGATATCCATATGAATATTGTATGTATGCATCGCTTGAAATTGTACATGCTTCAAACTGTCTTCATGTTTTCACTCATCATTTGGCGATGATCTGTTTTTATTTTGTCATCTGCCAAGTTGTGTCCATAAATGTGATTTTGGAATTTTATTTGTATAGTAATTTTTGTATGTCGAAGAGCAATTTTTTTTTTTTTGCCCGTTCGCACAGAGCGATTGGATTTTTTCTCTCTATGAAAATGTTATACCATTTTGTTACATTGTTTTGTTTCAGATGGCAAGATTTGTTAAATAGTTTGTATTTTAATGCAATGAAGTTTGAGAGTATATTCAACATGTAAACAATATAATCTTTTAATTTTGCTTCTCTGGAACTTGCAGAGAAAAGGATAGTTATTGTTTTCATGCTCAGCAAATATACAGTAATATCGCCCTGTTTTTGAATATTTTCTCTCCGGAATTTGCTTTTTTAATAATACACATATTTTTTTCTTTTATTTCCCTTGTCAATAATTCCACAATCCTTGTTTTTTTTTTTTTTTTGGAAGTGTACCAACAATCAAATGTCTTAATGCAGATTTCTCTTTTTTACATTATTTATTTATTTTTAAAAACAATTTTTTTGATAGTTTGGTTAGATAAAAATATTAGATAAAAATATAAATTAACAAGTTAAACTATGAAGTAACAGCACAAGAGTCTATACAGTTATTCGCTCGTTCATTTCATTCCATGACACTCCTCTCCACTGTCATGTCTTAATGAGTTTCATCTTTTTTTTTTTTTTGTTCCAGTGCATCACATGACAAAACGTTCTGTGTTTCTTGAACATCTAAGTCGCTGTTTATGTGGCTCATTTCTTTCTGAATCATGGCTTTTCCCATTATTTAAATGGGCATCAATTGCAAAGTTATCATTTTATGGCTACTTGATTTATTGATTAATATTTCACGCATTCAAATTGACAAGTCATCTGCTACTATTTTTCCTGTTGATTACATACTTGTTGTAGACTGGACTTTCAGTGGGCAGTTATTACTGGTGAAAATATAAAAAAACTACTGTAAAGATGATCATTTTTTAAATTACCTTTCAACTGTAAAATAACTTTTTGACTTTCACAATATTTAATTAAAGTTTCCTCTTGTCTGTGACTCTTCATTCTTTGTGGGGTTTTTGTTGTTAATTAAAAAAAAATGAATAAAAATGTTTAATTGATTTTCTAAGCATTTTAAATTTTAGTTGTTGTGGGAAATTAAAATGTACGGCATTTACGACATTGTAATAAAGCAATTAATTATATATGTATAAAGAAATGAAGCGACGTTGTAGCGCAGGGGTTCACATGATCACACACAAGCCTGTCATCTGCAATAAGAGTTATATTCACATCAATTTATATTCACATCAGAAATTAAGTGCACCTTATTAGTAATATGGACCCATTTTAATGACTCTAGTTCATTAATATATTACATGCTTCTGGCATAGAGAATATGCCCGCTGCCACTTTAACATATTAATTAATGATGGCTCTGGTCTTTTTTTTTATTTTTTTTTATTAAAATGCATTTGGCACTTAATTGATTCATCATTTACATTTACAGTCATCAGCAGATATACGCACACATGTAAAATGAACCGATTTGACTGGCTTGAAAAATGTCTGTCCACTGACCTCAGTACAGAAGGTTGAGTTCTGCAGGAATTCAATGGCTGTGTGGGTTTTACATTTTCTGCCAATTATCTCGCAGTCTTTTCTT